TAATAAATATCCCTGGCAGTGAAAAACAATGATTAAATGTTAGTTTTAATCCTCCGTCTCTTCTGTGATGTAGGCAGTAGGAAAATATCTGTTTCATTTTGTGCTTTTAACAAATCTATTGCTAAATTAGCCTGATTACCTTCATCTCTGCTGGTGGAACTAATTTTTTGTTTTTTTTTTATGATGTGCTTCAGACTCCAGGGGGACAGAAAAACATTCAGCCTCACATGCTGCGATAACCAGCTATCTCCACACGGGGGCGACAGTGACAACAAGGGGCAAAGACAAAAGCAAAAGTATAGAGAAGGTGGGTTCGCCCGCTGAGGAGTGATCCCGTCTGTGGCCGTTGTTTCTGCTCCACTTTTTCTCTCCGTTTTTCTCACGAACTCGAGGAGGTTTGGGGGGGTTGGAGGCCGGATTGTGAGAGGGTTTGTTGTTGGAGGAGGAATGAGGCCCGTAGCCTGGCCAATCATCGTTGTACCTTTCAACATAATCCCCGCCCCCTGATCCACTGCCTTCCTCACCTAGAACCACAGAAAAAAAATAGTAAAAAAAAATACCAAAGTTTAGACTTAATAAATTCTCCAAGGCAGAGTAGCTCACTGTCCACGAAGTCTATGTCCTGTCCACTCTGGGCTTGTCTCAGTTTGTTGGTTGCCACCCTCAGCTCCATGATGAGCTGTCTGGTCCTCACATCAGGCCTGGCGATGTCCACCTCCACCTCAGGGTTGTTGATCTGGCTCACCAGTCCGTCGCCGGTCACATCTGGGAGGTACCTGAACAGTACGTGACGAGTAAATGTAGAGTCGGCAGTAACAAGAGAGTAAAAATACTAAAGACCATAATTTTTAAAACTGAAGATTGTCCGTAATGTCAACAACGGGCTGAGCAGAACCAATCAGGCGGTAAGATGTAGATTCTTTAATCAATAAAAAGTATAAAGTACATATTAATATTCTATAGGTTTATGCCATGATCATTTTATCACCATTTTTAAAAATTATTATATTACATAATCGTTACCAAATCGTCATAGATTCCGCCCTCTACTAGAGACACAAATATGTGCGTATCAAAACCCCGGCCAAATCAATTCAGCATAATATGTCCCCCTCAAAGACCAATCTGAGAAAGGGCATCAACATCGACACTGATTCATAGTTTTGCAGAAAGAACCTGGCGAGATTTATTCTTTCATTTTTGTGCCTCCAAGAAATTCAAATCACTGACCATGAATTCTCTACGCCCGCAACCTGGACACACACTGAGACCCTGTCTCTGAGGTGCTGCGTTATCTGAACAAACCCACACACCGAGGCGGTGGGAGGCTGTGGTGGTGACTGCTGCAAAATCAAAACCAGCTCAGCTCCATTTCTAACTTCCTGCCACCTCTGTCTGCTCCATCACTCTTCCTCAGTCCCTCTTTTTTTTGTTTCTTCCTCCACAGCCTTCCTTCCTTCCTCCCCCTCTCTCTCTCACCTCCCCCGTGTCTGTCCATTCCAGCAGCGCTCCTCGTTGGTGACGTCGGCAGCCAGTTTCTCATCGTTGCAGGTGGTGTGTGGGAGGGAGATCCAGAAGCCGTGCATGGGCCTCAGCCTCTCCTTCAGCTCAGTAACCTGTGTGGAGGTGGAGATGGAGCTGGTTATGACTCAGAGAAGGTATTTTAAAGTGTCCTTGTTTGGTTAAGACTGGATGTAAGAAGCATATGGAAGCTGCAGGGGCTGACGTTGGTCAAAAGCTGACATGACAACCAGGCCGGCTCTCTACTGCTGCTGCCTGTCTGAATGTCACGAAATAACACAGTATATAGGTACAGTCTATTTCCTGTGCTCCCAGTCATTTTTAACACCTTCTGTGAACTGACAGGAGTAGTGTCTAGAATCTGGAGCCAAACTTGAACTCATTTTTTTTCTTTTCTTTTTTCCTTCTCTAAATCTAAATTCTGCAAATGCTACAGACTTAAAGCTGACAATTTTATCATATTGCAGTTTTTCAATGTCGATTGATTGTCGATTCTTGGTCCTCACCAGTCTGTCCAGATTTGTGCCTGCAGCAGTAGTGGGTC